TCAGTTTTCGTACTTTTTTCCAGACTGCACTCATAGAGGAAGCAGAGGTGATGGTGGAGACATAATCTCGCCAGCAAGTGCGTTTAGCGTCACGGATGACACGGCGAGCGATCGCACGCTTCTGTTTAAAATCAAGGAGTCGCTCTGTGGTTCTATTGTACCGGTACCTGCCCCATGCAGCGCGCTTCAAACGTACTGCACGAGCACAAGCAGGAGACCACCAAGGCACGCATTTCTGAGAATGCCTGCCCGAAGTTTGGGGTATAGAATGAGAAGCTGCGGTGAAAACGGAGGACGAGAAGAGGTGTAAAAGCTCATCGATGGAGGACGAAGAAGGAACCTCTTTAAAAACAGTCAGGTGTGAGTAAAGGTTCCAATTTGCCCGATTAAATTGCCAGCGTGGGGTGCGAAGAGGTGGCGAATATGAAGGGGAAGTAAGAATGATTGGGAAATGATCACTGTCATGTAAGTCCGGGAGAACAGACCAAGTAAAGTCTAATGCGGCAGAGGAAGAGCAAACTGAGAGATCGATGCAAGAGAGAGTATGAGTCCGAGGATCAAAATGGGTGTGAGTACCTGTATTTAAAACATGGAGGGGGTGGGTGGCAAGAAAAGCCTCTAACTGAATTCCACGGGAATCACAGTGAGACCCTCCCCAGAGGAAATGGTGGGCATTAAAATCACCAAGTAACAGAATCGGTGGCGGTAATGACGAAACAAGGAAGGCAAAATCCGGAATAGATAATGCCCGAGAAGGAGAGAGATATAAAGAACAGAGTGTATACCACCTATGTAAGTGGATACGGGCTGCTGTGTAATGCAGCGAAGTATGAATAAATAGCTGATGGTACGGAATATCAGTGCGGAGAAGAAGGGCACTTTCATTAAAGTCCCATCAGGAAAAGGATCTGAAGAATACAATAAATTATAGCCTGAGATGTGAGAAATAACAGCAGAGTGTAATTTTGGTTCCTGTAAGCAAACCCCCAACAGGGGCAAACTGGGAGAGTAACATCTGAAGCTCCCCCCCGATTACCCCCGAGGCCGCGTATATTCCACTGTAAAAGGCCATGATTGGCAATGATAAAAAATACTTGAAATCCGCATGTAAGGGTTCCTACGGACTAGAAGGGTTAGAAAAGTCCACATGCGGAGGCAGTGGAAAATGTTCAAGCAGCGAAGGAACGGTGCGCTGTGAAGAAAGGAGTTGCGCAGATGGAGCAGAGGAGAGAGAAAGAGCGGAAGGTGGATCAGTGTCCATTGATGGTTTGGTCTCTGCAATATATTCAGAGATTGCTTCAAGTGTTTCGGAATTCAGAGATGTCGTATGGGAGACAATATTGGGAAATGGTAGGGGGAGGATGAGTAAAGATTGGAACTGTATTGGACTGTACCAAGGTAGGGGGGGCGAAAGGGTGGAGGGAACTGGAGAAGCGTGGCAGGGGACAGAAGAGACAGGAACCTGGGAGGTGGCAGAAGAGGAAGAAACTTGGGAGGGAACAGGGGAGGAAGGTACATTACGAGGAGGAGGGTGAACCTCTGCACTTGTAACTGAGCCAGTGAGAGGGGAAGAACTAGGGACAAGAGACAGGGAGGGTAAAATTTAGGAGGTGGAAGATGGGTAGGAGGTGTTACCGGACCTTTTTTTGACTTTTGAGAAGTAGAGGGACGATTGGGAAGAGGTGTCGTACGAGGTCTCGTCGATACTGAGGCTTGTAGAGAGAACTCGAAGAAGCGAGATTAGACTGAGGCGTTGAAGTAGGACGTCTGAGCCCAGACAGCAAAAGGATTAGATACAGGAGTGATTATGGGAGAGGTAACCACAGAGGTGGGTGTAAAGATGGGATACCAGAAGTGGGGGGAAAGTTTTGAAACACGGGAATAAGAAACACGTGGGAGTCTCCCTTGGAGGCGGAGATGAGAAACTGCCATGGCATAAGGGAGACCTTCTGTCTCTTTGAGGTAACGGATTTCCCCCTCGTTTAAATAGACCTGACAACGGGGCGAGAGTACGAAGGGTGAGCCTCATGACAGTTAAGGCAAGAGGGAGATCGATTGCAAGACGTATTAGAATGGTCATCGGCACCACAGACTGGGCATTCGGCGATAGATCTGCAATATTTCGCTGGATGGCCAAATCGCCAGCATTTCTACACTGTTGTGGTGTAGGGATCACCTTTCGAACTTGTAACCGATGTCCTGCTATATAAACGGAGGATGGAAGTTCTCGGCTGTCAAAAGTTAAACGAGCCACATTGCTAGGGTATCGTCTCCGCCCACGGGCAGGAAGAACGTAAGTGTCTACCTTGAGGATTGGGAGATCTTGGAGTTCCAGCTGTTCTAGAATGTCGGTGCCACATGTCTGGAAATTTTGTTGAACTATGGTATGGGGCATAATAACGGTACCACTACAAGAATTGAGGGAATGATGTTTTTCAAGGGTGACAGGAACAGTATCTATATGGGAAAGACGAGAGAGCTCACGAGCCTGGGTAGCATTCTGTACGGTAATGATGCGCGTACCGCTCTTAAGAGCATGAAAAGAAATATCTTTACCAACATGGCGTAGGAGTGCCTTGCCAATACTATGGTCAGAAAGATAGGCAGTAGAGGAAGTTGGTCGTAAAGTGAAGAATTTAGTCCACTGTTCAGTCTGAAACTGAGCGTGGAAAGGTAGTGAAGGACGTGTCGATCGTTTCTGAGAAGAACGAGAAGGTGAAGGTGGAGAAGTATCATCAGCAGGTAATTGTCGTTGACGTTTTAGGCGTGGGACCAGAGTTGGTCCGACGTGGAACGGGTCGGCGATTTGAAAATTGCCGCACCGTAGAGGGAGAGGCCGGAAGCATAGTCAGAGGAGAGCGAAGGTCTGATAAATCGAAGGAGTCAGTCGAGGCCTCAGTACCTGAAGCGGGTGAGGAAACAGCACCGGCAATAGGTACAGAGGCATGAGGAATGTCTGAAGAGTGGTCCAAAGACGAGGCGGGTCAGAAAGGGGTGCGGTATCAAGAAGGGGCCCGGGGGTACCAGGTTCATGGACTAGGGCTGCCATGGTTAGGTTACTTCTTTCTTTTTGTTTTTAAGAAAAAAAAGAAAGAAGAAAAGAAAATAAAAATAAAAAAAAGAAAAAAAAAGGGGGGACCGGGGAGGGATAGTTCCTAGGAGGAATGAAAGGGCCAGAAATCTCCCTCCGCGCCCAAGAGGGCTCGACACCGCTAGTAGCGCAGATGCAGCATGGAACCCGTGCCATACCCTACCCTTCATGCCAGTAAACCAGCAATCTGGGATAGCAACCTCACATCTGCCGAGCTACCTCGGTGGACAAAAGAGAGGGCGGCCGGATATCCGCCACAAAGCATACCTCCTTCAGCCACCACCCCGGAATCCGAAAGGTGGCTTCCAGAGATACACCCGTCGCCCAAAAGACACCCAAAGCTACTCCGGGATACCCGGGGAGGGATCGGGACATCCCTAGGCAATCCAGATTCCACGGCAAACTACGCCACCGCCAAGAAACCTCAACGGAATGGGATGGACCCCGGTGTCCTTTCCCCTACCTAGGAACTAGCGCGCCTGTGGGAGAAATCACGAAGGCTAAAAAGAGGAAGGGCAAAAGGGAGGGGTGAGGAGGAGGAGGAGGAATGGAAAAAGGGGAGGATGGGGAGGATGGGATAGGGGAGGGGAGAATGGGGGGTAATTAGGTTCGGTCTGAGGAAGAAGACCGACAGGGCTAATTCCTCAGACCAAGAGCCTCTTCACCACGCCAAGGAGCCCCCCTTGAAGAGGCTCTCACTGCTATAGACCAGATGCTTTGTAACTTTGTAGTCACGGGAGTAGGTACACTATACAGTATTGCCCCTCTAAATAGCAATAATATGCCTTTGTGTTGCATAATCACACTTCTAATATTCAGCTAACTCAGGATTAATTTTGTTTTTTCCTTTATGTGTGATCTATACTGCCCAGTTTTATTTTATCCCCAAATGAGCCCTATGACTCTTTCAACTTCCCCTCTCCCTCTTCTTGCCCCCTAACCCCTCTCTCTCTCCTTGCCCCCTAACCCCTCTCTCCCTCTTCTTGCTCCCTAACCCCTCTCCCCCTCTTCTTGCTCCCTAACCCCTCTCTCCTCTTCTGCTCCCTAACCCCCCTCTCCCCTCTTCTTGCTCCCTAACCCCTCTCTCCCTCTTCTTGCTCCCTAACCCCTCTCTCCCTCTTCTTGCTCCCTAACCCCTCTCTCCCTCTTCTTGCTCCCTAACCCCTCTCTCCCTCTTCTTGCTCCCTAACCCCTCTCTCCCTCTTCTTGCTCCCTAACCCCTCTCTCCCTCTTCTTGCTCCCTAACCCCTCTCTCCCTCTTCTTGCTCCCTAACCCCTCTCTCCCTCTTCTTGCTCCCTAACCCCTCTCTCCCTCTCTTGCTCCCTAACCCCTCTCTTCCTCTTCTTGCTCCCTAACCCTCTCTCCCTCTTTCTTGCTTCCTAACCCCTCTCTCCCCCTTCTTGCTCCCTAACCCTCTCTCCCTCTTCTTGCTCCCTAACCCTCTCTCCCTCTTCTTGCTCCCTAACCCCTCTCTCCCTCTTCTTGCTCCCTAACCCCTCTCTTCCTCTTCTTGCCCCCTAACCCCTCTCTCTTCTTGCTCCCTAACCCCTCTTCCCCTCTCCTTCTACCTTTGCATTCATGAATATGCTGACTTGGTTGACAAGATGTGAGAGTTGCCTAGTAGAAATCCTACCTTTATGATCGACTGATAATGAGTGACACGAGCAGAGTAAAAATACTGGCAAGAGTAGAAAACAAGACTAGTCACGATACGGCTTGATAATCCAGAATACAGAATTTTTAAAGACAAATCATATTATTTCTATAAAAAACGGTGTACAATTGGTACAGAAAGGCAATATTACTGACACTTTATTTGTCTTCAGACATAAAAGGATTAGAACAATTAATGAATTCACATTTACACCAACAAATTAACAGTAAATACAGTAAACACAGTTAACATACCTTGAGGTAGATCTTTCTCTGATCATTATCAATAAGTGATGAGTGTTTAATGATAGCCAGATCAAACCGCTGAGCTGCCTCCAGGAGGGTGATGAGGACATCTGGTCTCTTGGTGAGGTTGGGAAGACAATTTAGGAGGCCTCGCGGATCTCTGTTTTGGCTCTGCATCACAACCTGAATAAACATAATATTCAGTACATTAAGGTTCTGCCAACTAAAATGAGAGATTTTCCTGTAACTATTTTATGAGATTTTCTGCAGGGTATTTATTAAACCATATTTCCTATAATATTTAGGGAAAAAAATTAAATCCATATGGCTCATACTGGAGGAGAGAATCTGACAAATGGAATGACAATTTTACTTAAATTAAAGTGCAATATGTTCAGAAAATTCTCAAGCAGATGTTAATTTATATTTTGTCTATCTCCATCATTACCTCAATTGTGCACCACACCTGAAGATTAGGTCACCCAATCAACACTCACCCAGGAAGAGGAGTCAACCCCTCAACACCCAAGAGGAGTCACCACCTCAAGACTCACCTCTGCACCATATCTAAGGAAAAGGTTGACAACCTCAACATCTGGATCTTCATTTGATGACAGGTACTCTCCCAGTGCTGGCTTAATGGGAGTGTTGTCCTCTCCAACAATCACCAGGTTGGGGTTTGCTCCTTTCTCCAGCAGTAGCTTCAAGATCTCCAAACGGTTAGGAATTCCTTCGCTGCATGCCATGTGAAGGGGAGAACCAATGATGGGGGAGCTTGCATCTAGATTGGGATCTGCAATGTAAAGTGTTGTTATCACAAAAAAATTGCTAAAACCATATGGGTCAGAACAATGAAAAAAAATGCACATATTAGAATGTCTACAGGAAAAACAAGAATAATAAATGTTTTGTATTAAAATAAGGTTATTACTGAGGCATTTCATTTACTATTCTATAATTTATATTAGGTAATGTGAATTTGTGCTTAGATTTACTAATATTAGCTCTTTTTCCTCCTCCAATACAAACCCTCCACTTAATCTTCTGCTTAATAGCTACAACAGAATGATAAATTAGACATGTGCAACACTTGGGTATCTTTATTGAGGAAACGTTTCATCACACAGTGGCTAATTTATCAACTTGTCGGTTCTCTGAACCATTCATCTACATTCCTGTGACATAGCATCCTCTTGGGATCTTAATGCAGGGAATTCTTCACTTGCCTAACCCTTTGGCATAACCTACTTCCACATTGGACAAATGTGATACCACCTACGACTGCTGCACCTCTCCTGCCTATGGTATATAAGCTACTTCACACATATGCTGTATTCTTTTCAAGATTGATGGACTGACCACATTGACTCAAGGCTGAGGGACTGACTACCTCAAACTCCTCCTGTTCTTCAATGCTCTCCTTTGTATGGACTGATGAAGCCACTGTGTGGCAAAACGTTTCCTCAATAAAGATACCCAGGTGTTGCACACGTGTCTAATTTATCAACGTGTCGGTTCTCTGAACCATTCATTTACAAGCTACAACAGAATACACAGTCACAACGCAAGGCACTCTTCGACATCCTTCATGTCAGTCTCTCACTATGCAAAAATGTCATGCACATAAAGGGCCCGAAGATCTGGAATTCACTACCTGAACCGGTAAAGAATCCCCTGACTACATACAAATTTAGGACTATGCTTAAAAATTATCTCATCTCTCAATACTAACCAAACCAATGAAAACGACTTCTAATCAGTCTGAAGCAACTCTCCCAAATATTATATTATATGACCTCTAGTCTATTAAACATCTGCCAATCCATGAAATATTACTGTCTGAACCCTGCCTGTACACCAATTCAAGGCTCTGCTTAGAAACCCCCTCATTTCCCCAAATTAACCACACAAACAGTATTATCAACACCATTGACTCAATAATTTCCAAATTTTATAAGATTACTTCAAAAATAAAATGGTCTCAGTCTCGTAATGTAAACTGTGCCAAAATGTAATACTAACTTATTAATTCAATTACTGCTAAACCACTACTACCTCTGAAATATAAAAAAACAATGTTCAATTCGAACCAACTATGATATACAGTGGAACCTCTACTTGCGAGTTTAATCCATTCCACGACCTTGCTTGCAACTGGATTTGCTCATTTGCAGTCAATTTTCCTCATTTAAATTAATTGAAATGCAATTAATCCGTTCCAGTGGAATTCTGTACTTCAATAATTTCACTAATATCAACTCTATGGCTTATTTATCTATCACAGTTCATCTAATATGAAATAATAAACAATATAAATAACATAGAAACCTGATAAATACTCCAGAATGCATAAAATATGTCATTATGTAACAGGTGGAGGCGACCACAACCGCTCCCTCTTTGTACTTTACAACCCAAAACTGTAATTACACATTGTAACCTTCACAAAGACATAAAATCTTTATTCTTTATTTATTCTTTCCTTAATGCCAGATAGATTCTCAATCCAAGGAGTTTGACCTGACTGCCCCTTCTTTGAATCAAACCTGAATGCCCTGATTCCCCTTCCCCCTGGTATGACCCCTATGAGTTTAGTGCTCCCTTCTGAATTTATTTTTTTTTTTTTTATCCCTTGCACTATCTTGAATTTCTAGAGATTTTATTTTGAATCTAATGTTCTAGTGAATACAGAAGTGGAGTTCCTTATTTTTACAGTACAATGGCTACTAATGAATAATACCTTTCTTTTACTCCCATAGAAAGTTATGCTCCAAGCAGTGTCAGAGGATAAAATAATTTATGCATTATCATGTCTCAAATGGCAGTTTTGTTACAATGAACTTAATATCAATGTTAACAAGCCCACAAACTGGAAAAGAAATCTGGAAGGCAAAATATTTAAGGCTGTTCTGGATTATCAAGATTATGATATAGGGAGAAAATCTGTGAGGTCAGGATAGTGTAAGGAAGAGATCCAAGGTCAAATCACTAGTGTTGTAAAGATGAGAACATTGGACAATGTACTGGGAGACAAGTAGCTAAAACAGGAGGCTGGAACTTTAGTTGTCCAGGATAGAAAAAAAAAAAAAAAAAAAAAAAAAAAAAGACATCCAGATTTCATATTCTTCATTTAATTAAATTTTAGTTAAATACCTATCAATTCACTGGGGTCATTCATGCCACATTTTTCCTAGCCAAGACCAGCTCTGTGGAGCTTTTCTTTATTTGGTAGAACTTCATTCTATCTTACTGGTTTATCAAATAAAAAATATTAAGAGGTATGGTGGCAGGATTTCCACCTTCATATTAAAAAAAAATCACAGAAGCATTTTGGTATTACAGTACATATCACCTGAACTGGTGTTAGGCAAGGTATTACACAAGGTTACTGAAAACTGTCACCTAGATTGATCTATAATTTGTGGATTACTGTAGTTGTGGTGTGAAATTTTGGTCTTCAGCCAAGACTGTCATTTACTCAAAATTATCACATTATGCCACTAGAAGCACCATGGTTGCCAATAATATAAAGGATCAGGAGTGACTTACCATGTTCAATAATGAGCCGCACCATTTCAACATCCCCCTTGAGGATAGCCAAATCCAGAGGTGTCGGTTTATTATACTCCGGTTCAAAGTTGACCCTGGCACCTTGTTTGAGGAGGAGGTTAACAATAGGAACAGAGCCGGAGAGAACAGCATAGTGTAGCACGGACCTGTTGAGGGGGTTCAGAAGTGATGCACGGGAAGTGGGGGAAGAGTGAAAATATAGGCAATTCCTCCTGAAGGCCAAAAAAAAAAAAAGAAAAACTGCTGAAAAATATACTTAATATTTTCATTTAACAAGGAAAAAAGGTTTACTGGATCCCCCAAAGATTTATCACCCAAGGAAACGTTAAGTTGTGCAAATTTTTGATAGCTCATTCTTATTTAACTGAAACATACAAACCTAACCTTTCTAAAGAGACTCGACTCACGAAATCGTAATGACACGATTGCAAACAAACCATACCATGGGCGGGGATAGAACTCTCTGATCGCGGGTTCTATACCCGCCCGTGGTATGGTTAGCTTACTAAAGAGTAATAGCAGTAATAGTGGTGACAGTTGATATTTACGAAGCACTTTGACCACATAGGTGCCAAAACTTAAATGGCTTAGGTACTTTAAGCTATCTAAAATTTTGCATAACTATTTCACTGTTTTCCTTAGAGCAGAGAATGGGGCTGATAAATCATAATGTGATCCAGTTTTAATTGCAGTTACAGAAGCCGAGGTTATTACACCATTTTATGGATGTTTAATGAAACTCATCTATATCAAACTATCTTTGCAATAGTAGACCCTTGTATAATGAGGTATGAGCATCGGAAAGCCAGCACATTACTCGTGCACCACTTAAGGGCACAATACATTAGATTCCCTTAACACGAGATGGGTAAAAAATTATGTTCAGAGGTTTATACTATATAGCAATACCTATGTTGCATACAGATAATTTACTTATTTTCTTGACTGGATATCTAACAGCAGCCAGAAATACATGAAAGATAACTAAGATCAAAAAGGAAGACACCAGGGATAAAGAACACAAGAGCATAGACAGGCATGGACAGAATGGATACATGCACCCATCCTGCCAACAATCTTCAAAAGAGAAGAGATTTGGGGTAAGAATTGCCAATAAGAGATCACAAAACAGTACAGCAAACACTGAAATTTCTCTTATATTGTGCAAGCTTATAATAAGCACCATGTTGATCACTGGAAGGTAACAGTAATGGGGTGATGAAAATAGCTAATAGTATCCTCTCTAGTTCAATCAACATTCACACGAACTCTCATGCTACATTCCCAAACTCAAAAATAAACCTCTGATATATGAAAGAGAAAATACTGAAAGAGGCTGACTACATATATCGAACCAAAGCTGTAATATTCAGTGGTATTATGGCATCTGCATCTCATAAATATGGAGACAGGATAAGGTTCAATGACATGCTACAAAATGGCTCGCTGACCTAAGAAATGTTTTATGAAGACCTGAAACCTTGAAAATGTTCTTCTAGACTGACAGCAGATGAAGTCGCATATGCTAATTTTACACAAGATTATAAACTAAGAAAATCTATGAAGCTTTGGTAACACCAAGAAGAAAAAAATCAGGACTGTAAAACGAGAAAAAAAAGGCCCTATGGCAAGAAAAATGGAGTAGAAACATTTACAAATTGTGGGGGTAGAATACTGGAATGGGATCATGAAATCTTCATACACTGGAAAAAACTTTCAAACACCACATAAAACAAGTTCTGAAGATGGGACACTGAGCACAGCTCTGCTCCTGTAACTACTGTACAAACAGGTCAACTGATAACCAGCAAGTAATCACAAGTGATGCATCTTCTATAGTGAGAAGATGCATCACTTTACAAGATGTACTTATTAAGGTTTAAAAATCACGGGCAAAAAAAATGTTGCATCTTATACACATCGGTATAAGGATACCCTACTAAGACGGTATAACAAATTCAAAACCACATATAAACTCATTCATCTACCTTGCCAGAAGTACACAGGTATCCCTATTCAAATGACCCTACCAAAAGCAAAGAATTACAACAGAAAGCTAATGCCAAAAGTAGTAGAAAATTTATTTTTCCATGTTCACTTGCTTTGCCAAAAGCATGACTCATAAAAATTTAGAGATGTCAATTATAAACGGTTATGCTAGAAACGTATCACTGAAATATGTGTTACACAAGGGTATACTGTATATATTACGTTAAGCTGCTACATTAATTTAAATACATTTACTGGTAGCTAATCATGCTCTTTTTATAGTATTGTACTCTGAAAGTATTAGTAAAAAATAATTTACTAAAATGTATCCTACAGCTATATAAAAAAAAATTGCAGAGTACACAAACTGTACCAAAAAAAAAAATAAAAAATAAAAAGGAACATGCTTTAAATATAAAACCTAGTAAAACCAATTGGTTTATTTCAACAAAGCAAGTACCTGTGGTTTAGAAAACCACTTTCATACTAGTGAGAAACTTGGGTAGGTTTAAGATGAGATCAAGGCAGATCAGATAGAGAGAAAGAGAGAGATAAAGAGAGAGAATGTTCAGGGGAAATCCGAGTGTTGGATTAGGGTACGTTGTAGGTCTGAGAGATTATGATGAATTTTTCACGACTTTATATGTACTACAGTATTGTGTATACCAAGTGTTTGCAGAGAAACATAGGTGAACAGTATTTAGATAAGGGTAAAGAGGTATTTGTGGCATTTATGGATTTGGGAAAGGCATATGATAGGGTGGATAGGGGGGCAATGTGGTAGAGGTTGCAAATGTATGGAATAGGAGGTAGGTTATTGAAAGCGGTGAAAAGTTTTTACGAGGATAGAGAGGATCAGGATAGAGTATGCAGGTGAGAGGGAGATTATTTCCCACTAAAAATAGCCCTTAGACAGGGACATGTGACGTCACCATGGTTGTTCAATATACAGTGGTACCTCAGGATACGAATGGTTCAAAACTCGAACAATTATGCAAGCGTGTTTATGTAAGTGCTTTTGTAAGTGTTTTTGTAAGCATATTTTTGGGAGTCTGAAATGGATTAATCTAATTTATATTATTCCTTATGGGAACAAATTCGTTCGGTATCGACACTCGAACAGCCTTCTGGAGCGAATTAAGTTCGTATCCCGAGGTACCACTGTATTGACAGGTGGAGTTGTAAGAGAAGTGAATGCTCGGGTGTAGGCAAGAGGTGTAGGAGTTGTCCCAGTTGCTCTTTGCTGATGACACTGTGCTTTTGGTGGATTCTGAAGAGAAGTTGCAGAGGTTGGTTGATGAGTTTGGTAGGGTATGTAAAAGAAGGAAATTAAAAGTGAATATAGGAGAGTAAGGTGATGAGGAAAACAAAAAAATTAAGTAATGGAAGATTGGATATCAGATTGGAGGGAGAGAGTATGGAAGAGGTGAATGTGTTCAGGCATTTGGAAGTGGATGTGTCAGCAGATGGGTCTATGAAGATTAGATTTTTGCCACCGAAGTGGCTAGTTTATTGTGCACCCCATATCCATCCTGTGGACGGTAGCGCAAGAGCATATAGAAACACAAAAGGCCCAGGAACTAGGCCCCAAAAGGTTAACAGGAATACATATGGATTTATATCTACAGATCTATAGTTCACTTATCTGTTACAAGCAAATTTAGGAAATTTGCTTAGTATACCTGGTATCTTATTTTCATTAATATCTTGACATGTCACATAGGTTATTATACTGTCTGTCTCTGTATTCCTCAATAAGTAGACAATTAAGCACAGTGTTCAAGACAGTGACCATATGCCTGATCACATAATTTACATTTAGTTTGATCATCTGTGTGTCTCCCAAACTGCCAGAAGTACTTGTAACCAAGCCTAAGCCTGGCCACTACAACATCAGTCTGTTCACATTGCACGTTGCTCCATAAACATACTTATCTACGTTCATGTTATCATAGTGGGTTATAGATCTACTCAGGCTTCTAATTGCATTCCTATAACAATCATTTTCATTATTTACTTCTCTCCTAATATTATTCCTAATGCTAGACACAGTTATACCAAAGTTATATTCTACATTCTCCTTCTGGGTACTCTTCTTGGCTAACATATCAACTTTATCGTGAAGGAGTAATCCAATGTGTGATGGGATCCATAGCAACTGTACATTAATTCCTTTGTCCCTGATTTTTGAGTATCTATACCTGGCTTCTCCAATGAGCATGTTAGTTAGTTTAGTTTAATATGTTTATTATGCACCCCATACCCATCCTGTGGGCGGTAGTCAAAAGATTACAGAGGTACATAATGGGTCCAGGGACTGGGCCTCAAAGTTTTGATAGCTGAGCAAGTTACAGAGGTAATGAATTCACAATTTACAAAGGTAATGAACTCCAGGTAGGTCTAGTCACAATCATGACAAGTTACAAAGGTATTTACAGATTACAGAGGTACACAATGGGTCCAGGGACCGGGCTCCAAAGTTTGGATGGCTGAACTAGGTACAAGGTAATGAACTCACAAGTTACAAAGATAATGAACTCAAGTTACAAAGGTAATGAATACTGTAAGAATGGTTACTTACGTTTATACATGGCTGCAATCATAAACAAATTTTAGAGTAATGAGCAATTCACACTTCCACACCCGGTCACAACTGTAGTGAGTTATTGGTGCAAATGTTGATTGCTGAGTCTCTCTCTCTCTCTCACACACACACACACACACACACACACACACACACACACACACACACACACACACACACACACAAACTCATACACAGAAACAAAACTCATGGAGACAATAACAGATGCAATCTTCCCACCAGGATACCAGATCATGAGGAAAGATAGAAGGGGCAGGGGGGGAGGTGGGGTTGCTCTGCTCGTAAAAAACAGATGGAAATTCGAGAAAATGGAAGGAATAGACGAGACGGGAGAAAGAGACTACATAGCAGGTACACTTCAGTCGGGGGAACACAAAGTGGTCATTGCAGTGATGTATAATCCACCACAGAACTGCAGGAGGCCAAGAGAGGAATATGAAGAGAGCAACAGAGCAATGGTGGACACACTTGCTGAGGTGGCAAGAAGAGCTCACTCCAGCAGAGCAAAGTTGCTGGTTATGGGGGATTTCAACCACAGGGAGATTGACTGGGAAAACCTCGAGCCACATGGGGGTCCCGAAACATGGAGAGCCAGGATGTTGGACGTGGTGCTGGAAAACCTCATGCACCAACATGTTAAGGACACTACCAGAGTGAGAGGGGAGGATGAACCAGCAAGATTGGACCTTGTGTTCACCCTGGGCAGCTCAGACATTGAGGACATCAAGTATGAGAGTCCCCTAGGAGCTAGCGACCACGTGGTTCTGTGCTTTGAATACATAGTAGAGCTGCAAGTGGAGAGAATAACAGGAGTAGAATGGGAAAAACCTGACTATAAAAAGAGGGGACTACATAGGGTTGAAGAACTTCCTGCGGGAGGTCCAGTGGGACAGAGAACTGGCAGGAAAGCCAGTAAATGAAATGATGGAATATGTAGCAACAAAATGCAAGGAGGCAGTGGAAAGGTTCATTCCCAAGGGCAACAGTAACAACTGGAAGACCAGAACAAGCCCCTGGTTCACCCGACGGTGTAAGGAGGCAAAAACAAAGTGCAATAGAGAATGGAAAAAGTACAGAAGGCAGAGAACACACGAAAATAGGGAGATCAGTCACAGAGCCAGGAATGAGTACGCACAGGTAAGGAGGGAGGCCCAGCGACAGTATGAAAATGACATAGCATCGAGAATCAAGACTGACCCGAAACTGTTGTATAGCCACATCAGGAGGAAGACAACAGTCAAAGACCAGGTGATCAGATTAAGGACAGAAGGTGGAGAACTCACAAGAAATGATCAGGAGGTATGTGAGGAGCTGAACAGGAGATTTAAGGAAGTTTTTACAGTAGAGACAGGAAGGGCTGTGGGAAGACAGAACAGAAGGGAACATCAAGAGGGAATATACCAACAAGTGTTGGATGACATACGAACAACTGAGGAGGAGGTGAAGAAGCTCTTAAGTGACCTTGACACCTCAAAGGCGATGGGACCGGACAACATCTCCCCATGGGTCCTTAGAGAAGGAGCAGAGATGCTGTGTGTGCCTCTAACCACAATCTTCAACACATCCCTTGAAACTGGCAACTACCTGAGAAATGGAAGACAGCTAATGTAGTCCCCATATTTAAGAAAGGAAACAGAAACGAGGCACTAAACTACAGACCTGTGTCTCTGACATGTATCGTGTGCAAGGTCATGGAGAAGATTATCAGGAGGAGAGTGGTCGAACACCTGGAAAGGAACAAGATTATAAATGAAAACCAGCATGGGTTCATGGAAGGCAAATCTTGTATCACAAACCTCCTGGAGTTTTATGACAAGGTAACAGAAGTAAGACACGAGAGAGAGGGTTGGGTAGATTGCGTTTTCCTAGACTGCGGAAGCCTTTGACACAGTTCCCCACAAGAGATTAGTGCAGAAGCTGGAGGATCGGGCACACGTAAAAGGAAGGGGCACTGCAATGGATAAGGGAATACCTGACAGGGAGGCACCCAACGAGTCATGGTACGTGAAGAGGTATCACAGTGGCGCCTGTTACGAGCGGGGCCCCCCAGGGTCAGTTCTAGGACCAGTATATTTTGATATATGTGAACGCATGATGGAAGGAATAGACTCTGAAGTGTCCTGTTCGAGATGACGTGAAGTTGATGAGAAGATTAAATCGGACGAGGATGAGGCAGGACTGCAAAGAGACCGGGAAAGAGGCTGGACATGTGGTCCAGTAACTGGCTTCTCGAATTCAATCCATCCAAATGCAAAGTCATAAAGATTGGGGAGGGGCAAAGAAGCCCGCAGACAGAGTATAGGCTAGTGGACAAAGACTACAGACCTCACTCGGGGAGAAAGACCTTGGGGTGACCATAACACCGAGCACATCACCGGAGGCACACATCAACCAAATAACCGCTGCAGCATACGGGTGCCTGGCAAAACCCAGAATAGCGTTCCGATACCTTAATAAGGAATCGTTCAAGACACTGTACACTGTGTAAGTTAGGCCCATACTGGAGTATGCAGCACCAGTCTGGAACCCACACCTGGTCAAGCACGTCAAGAGTTAGAGAAAGTACAAAGGTTTGCAACAAGGTAGTCCAGAGCTCAAGGGAATGTCGTACGAGGAAAGGTTAAGGAAATCGGACTGACGACACTGGAGGACAGAAGGGTCAGGGAGACATGATAAAAGACATACAAGATACTGCGGGGAATAGACAAGGTGGACAGAGATAGGATGTTCCAGAGAGGGGACACAGGGACAAGGGGTCACAACTGGAAGCTGAAGACTCAGACGAGTCACAGGGACGTTAGGAAGTATTTCTTCAGTCATAGAGTTGTCAGCAAGTGGAATAGCCTAGCAAGTGAAGTAGTGGAGGCAGGAACCATACATAGTTTTAAGAAGAGGTATGACAAAACTCAGGAAGCAGAGAGAGAGAGGATCCAGTAGCGATCAGTGAAGAGGCGGGGCCAGGAGCTGAGTCTCGACCCCTGCAACCACAATTAGGTGAGTACAATTAGGTGAGTACACCCCAAGAGCATGTTATTGGGGTTATTATACGAGTCAAGAGCCTTCAATGATGACAGAATCAGTAATGATGATAGAGTCAAGCTCAGTGTCATAGGTTAGCTTTAGCGCCATTAGGATTGCAAATAACTCAGTTTGAAGTGTAGATGCCCAGTTGTTAATTCTTATGCCTAACTTAACAAATTTATTATCATTCTTAAATAGGGGGAGGGGGACAAGAGCAATGCCCCCGCCACAAGACTCCTTTTAGATCCTCAGTGTTATAGGACAAGGTGAATCAAGAATTAAAAAAGGGGAAAAAAAGGTAAGTGTGCATGAGGAGTCTGGGAAACACAAACTTTATCCATGAAACAAAAGGGGAATCCCTGGGGTACAGTTATACCAACGCTCTTTTAGGGGGTGTGAGACTTTGGGTTGTAATGTTGCAACAAGGAGAAGGCTGGAGGCAGTGGAGAGTCATGTTGGGGGCAATTGTGGTGTGAATATAATGAGAGAATCCTAGTTTGGGATGGGAAAGAGGTGTGGGTTTTCCAAACTATTACCCAGGGGCGGGGAGGGGTTATCAAGTGGTTTGGACATTTTTGAGAGGATGGACTAAAATAGATGACTTCGGAGTAGAAAAATCTGTAGTGGGGGGAAGGGTGGGGTAGGGGTCAGCCTAGGAAAGGTTTGGAGGGGGGGGGGTTAAGGAGGTTTTGTGGGGGGGGGGCCTGGATTTCCGAAAGCGTGTGAGGGGGTTTTAATAGGGCAAGTGGAGACAAAGGTTTTTTTGGGACTTGCGTGTGATGGAGTGTTAGCAAGGTAACATTTATGAAGGAATTCGGGAAACCCCGGATGCCAAATTTGATTCCGGAGAGGGGGAAGTACAGTGCCGGCTTTCTAAAGGAGGGGTGTTAATGTTGCAGTTTTATAACTGTAGTGTAAGCATGCCTCTGGCAAGACAGTGATCGAGAGAGTGATGATGAAAGTTTCTTTTTTGGGCCGCCCTGCCTTGGTGGGAAACAGTCAATGTGTTAATATATATGTCAGTGGGCCCCCCCAAACGATTACCCCGAAAGTGACCCAAAATGTAAGTGTTTTTATGAAGTGCGTTTGTGTGTATGTTTGGGGGTCTGAAATGGAATAATCTACTTCACAATATTTCTTATGGGAACAAATTCGGTCAGTACTGGCACCTGAACATACTCATGGAGTGAAAAAATATCGTTAACCGGGGGTCCACTGTATATTGTTACAAGTGTAGTAATAGAAAAAATTAATGAAACACTTACCATAACTTCATAACAGTAGTAATACAAAACCCGTTTTTTTAACCAGAACATTTTTGGGATTTAAAAATATGTTCAGAGATTTTCTGTTTGTGATATGAAACATGACATTACAAGAACACTGCAAGTTGAATAGGGGGAAAGGGGGAAAATATTTTATGTTGTACCTTTTTTTGCAATAAAATTAGGAAATTCAACAGGCAATAAGGGTACTCCCCCTTTAAATTAAAAAGCAAACAATTTTATATTTATAGAAAAATACAAGAGAAATAAGGGGATTTAAAGAAAAAATTTTTTGGAAAATTTTAAAGTGGCTGAAAAATTGGGTTTTAAACATTGAAGAAAACAAACCCCAAGGAAGTTTGCGATTTCACTGGAAAATTATGTCATGTTGACAATCCAAACATCATGCGCTAATATAATTGAAAAAAAAATATTAGAAAAGCAGACAAGTCTTTTGCAAAGCCTTAGAGCATAATATTTTTTCTCATTTTATCAAGGTTTTTATTTTTAAAAAAGTGAAAGAAGCTCTAATATAAGGTAAGAATACACCCCCTTTTCCCTGCAGTTTTTAGACAGAGGGATGCAGTACATATGCGCTTTAGGGGGAAAATTTAAAATTGGGCTCACCTATGTCATGGCGAGTTCTGTGCGGCATTTTACGTTTGGGACCCCAAAAGAATGATAGAAACTGCCTCCAGACCCTGTAGATGAAAAATGCAGTCGTACCCTTGCAGAAGTCAGAAACCAAAAACCGGGGGGAAGGGCGCAGTCAGGAAAATTTGATACAAAAAAAAAATACACTAGGTAAGAGACTTTGCTGAATGGTAAGGCAGGAGCCTGAGTAAGAGGCACTGACAGAAGGCTGGGGCAGACTTGGCAAGAAGAGACATGAGGCAAGGGTAAAAGGTCAGATCAGATGCAGAAAAGAGGTCCAAGGAAAATGTTGGCAAACCAATGACCATGAAAAGTTGGATGGGATCAATGTTAACCGAGCCCTCTTCCACTCCACACAAGTCAAAGCACAAGGCTCAATAAGTAGGCAGGGAATAACAAGAGGTAGCCAATAAATCAGGTCAATGGAGCAGTTATACCAGAAGAATGGGAAAACATTTGTTAAATCAATGTGAATGAGGTACAGTACAAGCATGGAGCTGAGTAAAAATCAGGACCAAATTAAAGTCTTAATATACTGTCACATTTATTAAATAGTTTATTAACAATGTGAAGAGACCTGCAGCTTGATATGTCAAGTCACGGTAAAGATTAGTATAAATATGTTAAAGTCACAAGAAACCTAAAACAAAATAGTTATTGGAAGTACAGTGGAACCTCAGCTTACGAACGCCCCACCATGCGAATTTTTCAGGATACGAACCGTCGTTTGGTCGATTTTTTGCTTCTGGATACAAAGGAAATTTCAGGATGCGAACTTCCCCTTCAAGGGAGGTTCCTTAAAATAAATAAATAAATAAAAATATTTATTTCTTTGCAAAGGTTACAATGTGTTTACATATCATAATATGATTGGAGCAAAGAAAGCCACTATCATGCTGAGGCATTTCAGGCAGATTTAACCTAATATGTACTTATAGACTACTTAAGTCTAGACAGGTGAAAAGTGTACTAGTAGTGGTTAAGAATGTTTTGCTGATGGTGGCACCAACTACTGGCAGCCTTTTGAAGTTTCTCCTTATTGTTATTATTACATAGTATTATTATTATTAATTATTATTACACTATTATTGTTATAATAATTATTATTATTATTAGTATGTGGTGATGGGCTCTTGATCTATGGAATTGGATCTGTGCTCCAGTTCCCTAAATTAACAATAATAATAATAATAATAATCCACCCAGGGAGGTACTACCATCCTGCCAAGTAAAACAAAAGCCTGTAATTGTTTTACATGATGGTAGGATTGCTGGTGTCTTTTTTTCTGTCTCAAACATGCAAGATTTCAGGTACGTCTTGCTACTTCTACTTACACTTAGGTCACACTACACATATATGTACAAGCATATATATACACACCCCTCTGGGTTTTCTTCTATTTTCTTACTAGTTCTTGTTCTTGTTTATTTCCTATCTCCATGGGGAAGTGGAACAGAATTCTTCCTCCGTAAGCCACAAGTGCTGTAAGAGGCGACTAAAATGCCAGGAGCAAAGGGCTGGTAACCCCTTCTCCTGTATAAATTACTAAATTTAATAAGAGAAACTTTCGTTTTTTTTTTTTGGACCACCCTGCCTTGGTGGGATAAGGCTGGTTTGTTGAAAAAAAAAAATAATTATAATACACACGTAATAATAATACATGTACAGTGGACCCCCGGTATTCGATGGCATCGGTATTCGATAAATCCGGTTTTCGATGCATTTTAACGCAAACATTTTTCCTCGGTATTCGATTGAAAACCCGGTATTCGATACGATTCGTACGAAACCTGTCCACGTGTGGCCTGAACTGCCCCATGTGTGCTAGTGTTTACAAGCCAGCCAGTGTGTGCGCATCTAAGGATACATTCGGTACATTCCATATTATCACTGTGTTTGGTGCTTGTTTCTGCAAAATAAGTCACCATGGGCCCCAAGAAAGCTTCTAGTGCCAACCCTTCGAGAAAAAGTCGCTAATGACTTATGAAATGAAGAAAGAGATAATTGCAAAGTACGAAAGTGGAGTGCGTGTGTCGGAGCTGGTCAGGTTGTATAATAAACCCCAATCAACCATCTCTACTATAGTGACCAGGAAAACGGCAATCAAGGAAGCTGTTCTTGCAAAAGGTGCAACTGTGATTACGAAACAGCGACCTCAAGTGTTAGAAAATGTTGAGAGATTGTTATTGGTGTGGATAAATGAAAAACAGATAGCAGGAGATAGCATCTCTCAAGCAATCATTTGTGAAAAGGCTAGGCAGTTGCATGACGATTTGGTAAAGAAATTGCCTGCAACTAGTGGTGATGTGAGTGGATTTAAGGCCAGCAAAGGTTGGTTTGAAAGATTTAAGAATCGTAGTGGCATACATAGTGTGATTAGGCATGGTGAGGCTGCCAGTTATGTTGTGCGACAGAAGTCCAGCGACTCTCAAGCTGGTCCTAGTGGCATTAAAAGAAGGGAAGTAACCCTGGAAAAGGACTTGCTACCTCAAGTCCTAATGGAAGGGGATTCCCCTTCTAAACACTAACACCTCTCCCCTCCTCCCATCCCATCAATCATCACCAAATCTTCATTAAAGGTAAGTGTCAATTATTTTATTGTTATTGTAATTATTCTGTTGCATTAAACTTAATACAGTGGACCCCCGCTTAACGATCACCTCCAAATGCGACCAATTATGTAAGTGTATTTATGTAAGTGCGTTTGTACGTGTATGTTTGGGGGTCTGAAATGGACTAATCTACTTCACAATATTCCTTATGGGAAAAAATTCGGTCAGTACTGGCACCTGAACATACTACTGGAATTAAAAAAGTTCGTTAACCGGGGGTCCACTGTATTTCATGTAGTAAAAATTTTTTTTTCATACTTTTGGGGGTCTTGCACAGATTAATTTGATTTCCATTATTTCTTAGGAGGAAAATTGATTCGGTTTTCGATATTATCGGTATTCGATGAGCTCTCAGGAACGGATTAATATCAAATACCAGGGGTCCACTGTAATACATACGTACTACTACTACTACTAATAATAATAAAATATAATATGTTGTCATTTTTAGACTTTCCTATTTTTTTTTTCATATTTTTGTGCCAAATGCTTCAAAACAGAAATTGGTAACCCTCTGGGTGGCTGTAGGTACAGCTGCTATGACCACAGCTATCTCAGTGCCAACCAAGAGTCAAAAGGAAGAGGTGGTGTGCCACTGAGTGATCGCAGCAGACCCTTGGGATGCGTAATTTTGTCTTATACAGTGGACCCCCGCATAACGATCACCTCCGAATGCGACCAATTATGTAAGTGTATTTATGTAAGTGCGTTTGTACGTGTATGTTTGGGGGTCTGAAATGGACTAATCTACTTCACAATATTCCTTATGGGAACAAATTCGGTCAGTACTGGCACCTGAACATACTTCTGGATTGAAAAAATATTGTTAACCGGGGGTCCACTGTATTGTACAAATTTCTTACATAATGCCTCACCCAAAGAGACAGTATTTGCATACAATCAGCAAGAAGCTATTAGAAACTATGAAAAAAGCTAGAGAAACGGAGAAGGCAGCAGCATAGTGGAGGGCAGCTGGCCGCCACAGCCGCCACCACAACTACCACTGTGGCCACCACCACAACCACCACTGTGACCACAGTGATCATGTCTTCACCTATATATACATCTGTCTTGACCACACCTGGTGGTTGCATATGTGACATCCTCACCACTAATCATAGATAAACACAAGCTTGGTGTGGGGTTATGGGCTGGGAAGATACTAGAGTGGGAGAGTAAATAGCGGATGCATTCTGCCGCTGCCAGTGTCACCATCACTTGCCATATTATGGCCTATTTTATTCATTCTGGAGTATATATCATGTTTCTGTGTTATTAATATTGTTTATTATGTCATATTAGATGAATTGTGATAGATAACTCCTAAAGTAGGAGAAACTTTTAGAGAGGGTGTGGTAGGCAAGTTTGGGGTGCCAGGTGTAAATGATAATGGGAGCCCTTTGATTGAACTTTGTATAGAAAGGGGTTTAGTTATAGGTAATACATATTTTAGGAAAAAGAGGATAAATAAGTATACAAGATATGATGTAGGGCGAAATGACAGTAGTTTGTTGGATTATGTATTGGTAGATAAAAGACTGTTGAGTAGACTTCAGGATGTACATGTTTATAGAGGGGCCACAGATATATCAGATCACTTTTTAGTTGTAGCTACACTGAGAGTAAAAGGTAGATGGGATACAAGGAGAATAGAAGCATCAGGGAAGAGAGAGGTGAAGGTTTATAAACTAAAAGAGGAGGCAGTTAGGGTAAGATACAAACAGCTATTGGAGGATAGATGGGCTAATGAGAGCATAGGCAATGGGGTCAAAGAGGTATGGGGTAGATTTAAAAATGTAGTGTTGGAGTGGTTTGTTGAGTGTACCTGGTAAAGTGTATGGTAGAGTTATTATTGAAAGAATTAAGAGTAAGACGGAGAATAGGATAGCAGATGAACAAGGAGGCTTTAGGAAAGGTAGGGGGTGTGTGGACCAGGTGTTTACAGTGAAACACATAAGTGAACAGTATTTAGATAAGGCTAAAGAGGTCTTTGTGGCATTTATGGATTTGGAAAAGGCGTATGACAGGGTGGATAGGGGGGCAATGTGACAGATGTTGCAGGTGTATGGTGTATGAGGTAGGTTACTGAAAGCAGGAAAGAGGGAAATTATTTCCCAGTAAAAGTAGGCCTTAGACAAGGATGTGTGATGTCACCGTGGTTGTTTAATATATTTATAGATGGGGTTGTAAGAGAAGTAAATGTGAGGGTCTTGGCAAGAGGCATGGAGTTAAAAGATAAAGAATCACACAAAGTGGGAGTTGTCACAGCTGCTCTTTGCTGATGACACTGTGCTCTTTGGAGATTCTGAAGAGAAGTTGTAGAGATTGGTGGATGAATTTGAAGTTCAACGATGAGAAATTTCAATTACTCAGATATGGTAAACATGAGGAAATTAAATCTTCATCAGAGTACAAAACAAATTCTGGCCACAAA